AAATTTTTTATTGTCACGAAAATATGTATTAAACACCAATCCTGTATCAAAAAAATCAGCATCACTTTACCCCGTCCAAAACGCATGTCAGATGTCATAAAATCCAACAAAATTTATCCAGTCCCATTATATGCATAAAAAAGGGCACCACCTCTAACGATAAATATATCTCCTCGTTGCCAACACTTCCCCAACGAGACAGCTTTGCCTATGAAAAAGAAAAAAAAAATCAATTCCTCCGTTTCTCGATTTTTTTTCCAACTCCAACCTACGCGCAATCCACTCGCAAAAGTATATGCCCAGCCGTCCGTGAATAATAGCCCCAACTTTCCTTAGGTACCGCATTCGCATCTGTACAGGTATACAACCGCACATTCGAAAAATCGGAGACGGAAGAGCGGAGATCTCGGCGATCGTTGTCCGAGAGAGTCTGATTGAAATTTATGTTTTAATTCATAGCCCGGACTGATACGGCTGATAATCGGAGTGAATGTGTGTGTATGTGTGTGTGTGTATGGTAAACGAGAGCATAAGGGATATGGGACGGCCAAAGGCCATGACGGGCTCGTTACGTCCTGTACGTCGCGAGGCACCATTTTAATAAATTCAAGTGGCGAGTTTAACTGGATTCTGAACGACGACGACGACGAGGAACCGTGAGCTTTTATGCCACGATTATTCCCGACGTGTATGAAAGAATTTCCCTTTACGAGAATCGCCCGTTTTTCCTTCCCGATAGCTCTGGGGATCTAGATCTCACTCTAATGGCGACATTCGGTTCGGAATGGGGCTCGTACGGGGTGAAAAATGTCGAGTTTCCGCGTAGAGAGAGTTCAATTAAATTTACTCTTTTTGGAACGCGTTTATACGTGACGATTTTACATAAAAGTAGCGCGGGTCTTGCAACAATTTTTTTTTTTTCATTTTATATTTTTTATGACAAATAAATACTGTTTTATGTATACCATGGGAACAACGAATGAGGTGACGAGCTTCTTTTATCGCTGCTGATGCGTAAATTCTGTTATCAAGAAAATACGCAGTGTTTCACAAACAGCGACATGTGTACGAAAAAAAAAAAAAAAAAAAAAAAAAAGATATTCGTTTCCCGCATTGTCTCGGTAAAAAATACTGCGCACGGGATGTCATAAAAATCTCGGGGATGCCAAAAAAAACTCGCAAAAGTTTGCAGGACGCTCCAGAGAACAATACGCTAATTCAATTCCGTCCCATTCCTTTTTTTTATGTTCTTTGTAAACTCGTGCGTATTTTTTACGTTCCCATTTTTTGTTCCTCAGTGCCATTTCTTTGAACGGGAAATTCTACCATACTCATCGGATCCAAATCAGGGACATTTCACCCAACAAAAACAATACAGCCCAATCCAAGCGTCAATTAAGTAATCCCTTCCAGTAAAGACAAACCAGGAGTTTTTCGACTCGCCGAAGCAAAAAGCGACAGTCCTCCCGTTTCAATCAGGACTTCATTGTTCAAAAGTGCTGCCTGCTTCTGCCCAATTTCTCGGTACACGTACTTGATCGACCGAGGAGAGATCGACCGGCGGGGGCTGGAGTGTGTGCACGTGCGTGTGATACATGGGCGCTGGTTGGTAAGGGCATGAGTTACCTCGCTCGCTCTGCTGCAGCCGCGCATTAATTACCATTATACCCGGAATCGCTCTAATTCCATTTCGGTCTTTGGCTCGCCTGTCTTGCACTGTACATCCCAGTGTGTACTTTGCCGGGGTAGAGCGTATTTTCTATAACACGAAAGAATAATAATACAAAATTAAGCTGTCAAAATATTTTTCGCTGGTTATTGTGGCGTAAAAGAATTGGTAGTGGTACATGAAAAAACGTCACAAATGTCTGGATGAAAATTTTATTTTGAAGCTTGAAACCATCGCCGGTCGAAGCACCTACTGTCAAGTAATTTTTCTTTGTTCCTTTCCAGAGTACTTCGAGATCCACTTTCATTATCGATGCAACTTTGATTTGTTTCATCTTCGTACATAAATAAAAAAAAAAGGAGAGTAAGATGTGGATGCCGCGAAAAAAAGAGAGTACAATCGATGAAATGGGCAATGATGCAAAGGGGGTTGGAGCGCACCAGTCCCGGGAGAAATTCATTACCCCTCTTTGGTTGATTTCTGCCTCGCTTCTTCGACAATGCGAGGATGCCGTGAACTAGGTCGGCCCGTTAATTCGATTACGAGTTATGATTGCGTTTCCATTTTTCTTCTCTTCTTTTGCCACTATTGTTGCGCTTGGAATTCCCAATCTTCGGAATGGCAATCGAAAGCTCGGCCGAGCGCGAAAATAACATACTTCGGACGACTATCGCACAAATCGATACCACTCGTGGCGGAAATATTTGTGTCCATCTAATAATTGATTCATCAGTACAATAGATTCATTATTGCTGTGTCAAACAAACGCTGATCAAACAATCGTCCGACTGTGAAACTGAAAAAATCGAAATTAGAGGAAAAAGAGGAGAAAAATTTACCTCGCAATCGATCTTGATTCGATAAAAATTCTCATGCATCAATGAAGACCCAATTGCTACCGTATACGCGAGTGTAGTGTAGCTTTAGATTCTCCAGATACGTCCGACACCTCGCAATCATGGGGTCTGCTTTGAAAGGCGATACCCTCCATCACCTTTGCCTCCCTCTCTCTCTCTCTCTCACTTTGAGTTTCTTTAATTGTCTGTTTCTTTCTTCTCTTTCGCTGGCGTTCCGTGCTCTCTTCTTCCCGACCCTTTGCTTACAAACTCCTTTCGCTCTTCTGCGCTCTCGATGTTTTATTTTTGGTTATCTCTGACGCGATCGACTTGCCGATTTTTATTTTTAACTGCTTAGGAAACGAGGCGAGCGAAATGTGTATCTACGTTTGATCTGGAGGATCAAAAGCCACCATTCGCATTTTAATACGGGTTTCGACTGTAACTTGTTCAGATTATTTTTTTGATGTTTTTAGAGTCATACTAGGACCTGTAGGACCGTCCGATTGAGATTCGAAAGTCATCGTATTACTTTTCGCTCACTGTATTTTAACTTATTCATTACGACGAACATGTGTCTTTGAATTACTACTGTCAAAAATCCGTACTTTTAGAAAAAATTATTATTTTATAAGTTCATGGAGTATAAACAGGCTAGGAATATTTCTTTGAAGATGCATGTCCAAAAGAATCCAGACTAACTTTGAGCTATTGATATCCAACAGTTCGAGTACGAATAAAGATGTACATTTCCATCGAGTCCAAGGTTGACTCGGAGCGCTTTAGAGTGCTAGACCGTACAAATTTATTTGTATGGTTTGATAATCGGTGAATATAATACTTGAAGATTTTTTTATATAGTATACAGGGCTCGTAATGTTGATCAAGATAGCACGCCAGCATGTCGTATGCTT